CATCATCCAGACATCCAATCCCACCCACGAGTACATGACCAAGGAGTTCTTCGGCCCCATTCTCACACTCTATGTGTACGATGACGCCAAGATGTCTTGGGCAGAGACGCTCAACATGGTACGTTGCATACACTCAGTCTTGTCAGGAGTGCGTTTTGTTTCTCCTTCTCCACAGATACATATAATTATGCTGTTCTGCTTCATGTGTGTGCGTGCGTGTGTGTGGGAGTGTGTGTGTGTGTGCGCACGTGTGTGTGTGTGTTTTGTGCACGGGGAGAGGGAATCTAGCGTCTTTACTACCCTGGACAAAATCGTGTCTCCCTTTCATTGGGTATCAGATTTGCACAACACAGCCCTTTATCATGGTGAAGAAGTTGCACTTTGTGATCTTGCCCTGTGTGTGTGTGTGTGTGTGTGTGTGTGTGTGTGTGTGTGCATGCATGTCTTGATATTTTTAAACTTGTGGCTGCTGTACAGGTGAACACGACATCAGCGTATGGCTTGACTGGTGCTGTATTTGCCCGCGATCGGTAGGTCTACTGCGCAAGTTTTTTTGTTTTGTTTCTGCTGCTGCTACTTATGATCCCGATTCTGTTTCTGCAATGGCTTCACTTTTACTCAAATTCTTCCCGAGCTTGAGGAGAGACTTTTCATTCCTAGGATAAGGCGGCCAATCTCCTCGCCTATGGTCCCCGCTGTGTTTTCATGCTAGCGGGTGCAGGTTCTTTCACTGGTGTGTTGGTCTGGTGGGTTGAAAGGCGTTGGTTGGCATTAGTTGCAGCTGAGCTGAGATCCACAATATGTTTAAACCAGACCTGCACTCATCCACCGATGCATGGCATTAACGCCTGTGGAATAAGAAACACATGACTGTATTAAAAACTATTTCAAAGTAGTAGCAAGCCAGTATTCAACCGGAGAGTCATGTCCAACGGTCTATTTTGGTGTACTTTGTCTTTTCTGTTACACACAGCAATGCGGTTGAAGAGGCTAGTCGTGGACTGAGACAGGCTGCCGGCAACTTCTACATCAACGACAAGAGCACAGGATCAGTGGTTGGACAGCAGCCGTTCGGTGGAGCCCGTGCTTCCGGTGGGTTCAGAGAGAAGAGTGGAATCGCCGAGAAATCTTGGATTGTTGAAGTCGTGTGTAGTCGTATTTTGTGGTGTAGTGTATGTGTGTGGGGTGGGGGAGGCGCTGACACAGTGACAGGGACTAGGCCTTCCCTGCAATGTCCCTGGCTTTGTTCGTTCATGATTTTTGACAGTACGCATTATGTAATGCGATGTCATCCTCACTCATATTTCTGGACGAAATGGGTGCTTTGCAGATCTGAAAGCAGTGCAACACCAATTATTTTGTCCCGTAAGCTTGTACCCATTTTGTACACACTTCATCTTGATGGATCCGGTCTGTGTACAAGTGTGGCCTTCTAGATATGTTGGGCGAGGCTTGGGGATACTAGTGCAGTAGATATTCCAGCCTGGTCTGGTCCATGTCTGTAGCCTGTTCTCCCTACATTGTAATGTGTAACACTGTTGTACTGAACGGCATTCCTTGTGATGTTCCTGGTGTGTGTGTACGTGTGTGTGTGTGTGTGTGTGCGCATGTGTGCGCGCGTGTGTGTGCGCGTGCGTGTTTATGTTGATGCGTGCGTGTTTCTAGGTACGAATGACAAGGCTGGCGCCGCCTCCTACCTACTCAAATGGACCAGTGCTCAGTCGGTGAAAGAGAACTTCTTGCCTATCTCACGTCTTTACCATCCGTCCATGATGTCTTGAGCTGACTGACCAGTTTTTACTCGCCCCAATCTGGTGCTCTCTTTTCACGTGTGTCACTTGGTGACGTCCAGGTTAACCAGCATAAGGTATGGCTGATGGGAACTGATGCAATCGCAACTCGCCTGGTCTCACGGAGCTCCTCTTTCCGCTGCTCACTATCCTGGCATACTTACATGTAGCTTAACTTAGCGCGTATCAGCTCTCCCCACTCCGCCAGTGCTCCACTTCAAACTGCTGGTTGCTGGCTTTGCTCTTGCCATGAACAGACAACTGCACAGAATTGCCTGTGAAAACATAGCACGTATGTGCTTCCTGGCGAACATCGGCTTGCGGCAGGGAGTCGTAAATAGTATTTTCACGACGCCCTGGTAGTTGCAGACACGCATGACAGTGCAGTACTGTGCCAGCTTAGCTCTTCGGCGTTGCTCGGTTTTTCACTCACCATCTTCCGACCGTGACAATCGGAGTTGGTATTGCGAGGCAGCCTTGCTTTGCTGTTGCTTCGGCGCAGTTTCCCGACTTCCACCACTGACTTCTATTTGCAAGTTTGTGCAGTGCGTTATTTTACTCCCGATGTTGAGTGGCATGTTTCATAAACTTTCATTGGCACCATCCACATTATGTTTCCACCATCCACACTGCATACACCTAGTGCTGGACATGTACCAGTACACACACACACACACATGACATTGTATTGCCCTGCTGGACTGCTGGATTGACTCATCAACGGACCAATAAGGAATGCCCCCCTCCCCCCCCTAACTATTATTAACATGCTGATAGTTATATTTTTTGTTTGAGGGAATGAAATGGATATTGCCAAGAGTCCATAAACATTTTTTTATGGACTCTTGATATTGCCTTATTCGTATCTACAGTAGGTTTCTTTTTTTTCATGTTGAGCTAGCCCAGTCTTGTTCTAGTACTGCTTCACTCATAGTGAGTCTGTGTAACTGAACCACGCCACCATTGCTTTTGCTGATACCGAGAGCACAGAGCACAGAACCATGCAAATCGGTTCATTTGCCTGCCTGGATAGTGTTGCTGGTGATACTGGGTGCTGCTGCCACCGCTGCTGCTGCTGCTGGATGTGCTGGTGCTAGAGGTGGCGCTGCAGCAGCTGGTACTGCGTGTAGATCTACCTGATAGGCTTCACATGAGCCCTGGTTAGCATGTTTGCTCTCACGCTACCGATGTTGTCTTGGCTACATTACGTCATGAGCTTGAAAGTAGATCTTCTCCTACTGTACCCAGCAGCTGAGCATGCGTGATTATAACGAAGTTTGTTGAATGACCATACAACACCAAGACGAACTGCATAAAAGCAGTTTCTCGTCCTTCTCTGCTATTATTACAATTGCAGAGGACGAGAAACTGCTTTTTTCTGGAGACTTGTTATGTATTCCACATGCAGCCAAACCAACATGCAACTTGCTCCTGGCTTTCAAGGTCAACTGTATCTTTTTGGATTGTTCATGTTTTGGCCTAGCATTTCAATTTTAATTTTGAAATCCATGCTTTGTTAGGATTTGAAAACTCCATACCAGCCATTTACACATTACTTTTTCTCCCCATCATATAAAGGTTAAAAAAATATTTAAAAAACAGCAAGGAATGGAGTCAGTAGACATGCCTCAAACTCAAAGTGGTGTTTGCAGCAGAGAAACCGTATGTGGAAGGTACATAATTATATTTATAGGGACTAAAAAAAAAGCAGAGATTCTTTGTTTCAGGCTCCTTTTCTATACAGAATTGCCGCCGAATGTACCAGCAGAATGATTTGCTGAATTGCCACAGAACTCTGCACGGGTAGGGTGCAGACGTGCATAGCGCATAGCAGCCGATTGATGACAATCGCAAGGAAATTTTGAAATAGCACTCTAAATATCAAGAGTACATAACCAGTAGTGGCAGTGTTCCGGTTTGCTCAAGGGTGCAGGTGCCAAGTCATGTCTGTATACAGGTATCCTCCTAAGGCTAACTCAAGTTTGGCCTTCCCCAGCCGGTTCCAATTAATTATTTGTAGATTTCAAAACCTTTCACAGCGGCCCTCAACACCCTACCTTCCGACTGTGTGTATGGCTCAATACATACTAGTGACCAGGTTACAGTCATGCTCATGGAAACCAGTCCAGGGAGTCGTATTTTACAACTAACTGTTACTTCAGGATATTACATCTCCCTGGCTTGGATAACACAGTGACCAGGGTAGGGCGTCATACAAACCCGACTACAAAGCTGCTCCCTGCCAGAAAGGGCTGCATTTTGCGATCCTATACCCCATGCGATGGGCACCCGTGACTCCCCAGCTTTGTAGCACCTAGACAGGTGCCCCTCTACAGAACACATCTCGACGTGAAACACAAGCCAGTAAGTTGCATTTTGAAGCCGTCAGGTAGAAGATCAGTTGACACAGAAAGACAGCTTGGTGCAGTCCAACCACAGACCTCGAAACAAGCAGTTGCAGAGTGGACAAGAGACTGGGCAAGAGACGGGGATGACAGGATGAAGAAAAAAAGGGGAATAAAGGACGTCGTATGGGGAGAAGAGACTGATGGCACAATCTAGGGTGGAATTAAAATAGTGCACCAACTAAGGTCGCAGAAAAAGCAAAAGTACAGCGAGTTAAAAAAAGAGAAGTGGATAGGAGAACATGGAGAGAGCACGACATACTAACTTCTTGCAAAGCATACAGACACACATGCCCACATACACACACACACATGCACACACACACACACAGAACACTGAGCGGCAGAAGAGCAGCAGCAGGAAGAAGACCAAGGCAACGCAAACAAAGCAGAGGTATGTTCGCACCAAGGAAAGGCAGAGAAAGAGAGAAAGAGGAATAAGCCAGTTTCGATCGGATCAAATAATTCTAACGGTAATTGTAATAATGTAATGATGTAATGTAATGAAGTGTAATGTAAATGCGGAATTGTTGAGGATGAAGCGCATGCAATGCAGTGTGTGCGTGTGTGTGAGTGCAATTGGAGCATGGAGGAGTCTAGGATCTCAGGAAGACGTTATGAAAACAGCCCTGCAAACAAGCCTGTTTATAAAACCTTTTAAGGTATTGATGTATGATACTGGTAAAAAAAAAGAAAAAGAGAAAACTCTAGAACAGGACCAAATCCTTGAGGTTGTTCTCCAGTATGGTATTGCGAACTGCCTCGAAAATGATCCTGATCTTGTCTGTGTCTGTAGCCGTTGTAAAATGATGATAGAGCAGCTTGGTCTTGTCGATACGCTGACTGTCGAAAAGGTGTATCAGATAGTCCTGCACGTGCTCCAAGTTGTGCGGATTCATCTGCGCCGGGAACGACGGGAAGTACTGGCGGATGTCCCGGTACTTGATCTGGGCAACGAACAATGCACACCGCCAGCAGGCAAAGCTTGTAAAAACTGAAAAGCAACCGCACGAAATCCCCATGTACAAACCTGCTGGCTGTATCCACGGCAAAAAGTCAATATCATGAGCAGCGGCATTCCGCTGTTCCGGGAATTGTCCTCCTGTCCGCTCACTCTAAAATAATTCGTTATCTGGAAAAACTGTTAACGGCGTATTTTCAGTAAGTGCAGTCGCTGGCCGGGTTTGACAGCCAGAATTCGTTAACATTCCGTGTTGGAAAACAATAAAAATCCGGAGTCGCCACTGTTACATGTGCGCAGAACTACTTTACAAGGGGGGGGGGGAGAGAGAGAGAGAGAGTGAGAGAGAGTGAGAGAGAGAGTGAGTGAGATGGAGAGTGAGCGAGAGAGAGAGAGAGAGTGAGATGGAGAGTGTGAGCGAGCGAGAGAGAGAGAGAGAGAGAGAGAGAGAGAGAGAGAGAGAGAGAGAGAGAGTGAGTGAGATGGAGAGTGTGAGCGAGCGAGCGAGAGAGAGAATGTGAGAGAGTGAAAAAGAGAGAGGGAAGAGAGAGAGAGAGAAAGAGAACAAGTGCAAACTCACCTTCTCAGCAAGCATATCAGCCTTGTTGAGAAACAGTACAATGGAGGCTGAAGCAAAACAGCGCTCATTGGCGATGGTGTGGAAGATGTTTAAACTCTCCACCAAGCGGTTAGTAAGCCTGTCCTCAACGAGTACTTGGTCGAAACCATTCGATGCCACCATGAATAGAATGCTCGTAACCTGTAGAGCAAGGGAAGAAGTCACAGCAACACCGAAGCATATGATGTACTGAAAAGTTGTGAAACACTGACTGACTGCATCTGCATCTCTAAAAAACATAAAAAGTTCTTTCTCTACCCCCCCCCCCCCTCTCTCTGTCTCTCCAGCTTTCAAGTGTTGAGTGAGAATGGCTGGTGCAAATTTACCGATTATGCACTGCAACTCATCCAGCTGGTATTGACATTCTCGCAGCCTTAGCTTACATTGCCAGCACGTGTGGATCATGGCTGTGGATATCCCGCAGCGACTTGCACTTACCTCTTGGAAACATTGGAACCATTTCGTCCGTTGTGCACGCTGACCGCCAACGTCGACAAACGTGAATGGGACCTTCTTAATGTGAATGCTGTACTCCTGGACTCCGCGTGTTGACTTGCGGGAACACAGGATGTCCTGCTTGCACGGCAGGTAGTCCTGTACAAAAAGCATGTACGAATGGAATGCATGCTGAGCACTGCTTAACTAGCCAGTAAGTCAATGCTGTACAGACAAGATGGCATGAAAGACGAGCAGAAGCAAAAGAAATAGAAGACAGTCTTCTATTTCTTTTTCTAAAACAAACTTTAATAGAACTTATGGTCGTGGATTAGCCACAGAATGAATTTCAATACTCACCAATGTTGCAATTGAGGACAGGTTGTTAAAGAAGTAGTTAGTGGAGTCACCCTTCAGACAATGGAAAGGACATACACAGGCAACACACGCAATCCACACAGCCACAGAAAGCAACACGGATTACTGATCATGTTTCAGCGAGCACACGTACGTTCTCACAGCAAGGTCATCATTCTACATGCACACAGACACACACCTACATGTGCATGTATGCATGCATGCACACCCACACACACAATCACACCCACACACAACCTTGTGCATCTACAGATAAAAAGACCGACTAACAGACAATGTGCATGCACTATGCCAGGAAGAAAGGTGTGTGGAGAGAGAAGGAGGACCCAATCAGAAGGTCTCCTAAGATTGAACCGTTCGACTCCCTCCCTCCCCCCCCCCCCCCCCCCCCAAAGACCCACGATTGCATATGGGATCACCAGACCCCAGGAAGTGAAAACACACACACACGAATATTGAGGATTAGCAGTATGCCAACGATTACATTAATATTATGATTCAGCGAGTCTGGCCAGGAAAGCACAAAGTTCGAGGCCACTGTTGTTCAATTCTGAAAGATGCAAGGCTGCTGAATCACTGGAACGCTACTGCCAGAACTGACTCTTCTCCACTGTCTGCGACAAAGGGCTCATGGTTCTTCAACCTAAAGTCCAATTTCACTACTTGTAGCCTTGTGGGCGCTAAATCGAATCGTGTTAGTCTGAGGACGCTGAGGGAACTCCCTTTCTCCCACATTCCCTATCAAACTCGTCTACGTCCTCCGAAATTGGATGATTGTACCATTGTAGGTAAGGATTTGTGCGGACATTTCGAAATTTCACTGAAAGCACCACTTTGTCCTTATGGAAGCAAGGACAAGGATGAAACATTCTGAAACTGTAGTCTTCTGTGAGCTGAATCAAATGACTCTTGATTGGAGGAGGCCGAGATACAGCGTTCATCGAACACGATCCGGTAGTGATGCATACACCGGTCTCCCCGCAAGTGTACAATGCAGCCAGTGCAAACTGTCATTATTAGTCTTGCTCAGAGACACCCCTCCCCCTTGCTGCAGCTCACACGTATCTGTAACTCCGAACAGCATACATTCTGATGAGGGGGTAGCAAATGGTGTATGTTATCATTCTGACAGAATGCAACAAAAGTTGCACTTAGGAGTCACGAATTCAGGACAAATTCAAATGCCAGTTGGTCGCTTACATGGGCTCAATCCACTCCTGGTACATGTAATTAAGAGCTTTAAAATCTCGGTCCAGAATGTGCGATTGAACGTGTCCATTGTTAGAGCTTGAAAGTTACCACCATCGGCAGCAGAGCGCTGCACATTGGGTGTCCGTTTGTTGTTGTGTTCAAAAATGTACTGCATGCTACTGTACAGTGCTGCTCTATGAAATCCAGTCGCGTCACTCAAGTGTGCGCCGTGCAGCATTTCGCAACCCAGTATTCGCAGGTCTACGGCTGGATTTCATTGAGCAGGACTGTAGAATCATGTACATGACTGTAGTCTCAGTACAGCTAACTCTCATGGGGGGGGGGGGGGGGGGGGAGTCAGGGGCAGCATGCCAACAGTACACATCATACAATGCCATACGCTGCACATCATGAGTTGAACTATTACTTGTTCAGGTCTGAAGCAGGGCTGCTCAGTCGCACCAGACACTTACCAAGTGAAACTCGCTCCTCCGCTCGTAAGTTCTCTGTATACCATCGTCACCCCACACTGCGTCCAGCGCAGCGTAATACTGCACAAATTCTTCAGGAGTATCCACCGGACCGGCAGCTTCAATTAAATTACCATGCGCTTCATTCACGGCTTCGTTCCAGGGGATATTGAGGGCTTTCCGGGCACGAACAAGCTTTTGAGCGGAGCTGATTATGTTATCGAAAATAATAGTGCGATACTCAAGAAACTCTTGTTCTTCAAATCCCTGACCATGGATAATTCGCATCTGCTTCAGAAAGGTGCTCTTGCCAGACTCGCCAGCTCCAAGGAGTAGAACCTTGACCAGGCCCTTTTGCTTCGCCTTTTCCAGCTGCAGACGCTTGTCGATCTCTTTTGAATGTTCGTCTTGAGCAACCCTTTCACTAGTTCTAGAAACCGCACAACAGCGCCATGCCATCACTGATACTGTGGCATCGCCTCCAAACAGTGTCACGTCTCATTCGACGCCAGCTAGCTCCTTCCGGCCAGTGCCTAACACAACGAAAATGCACAGCCCTGGTAGCTCTGCAGATCCTCTTCCGCCGAGCTGTTACCGCTGCCACCAGCTTGTCGAAACCAAGTCAGGACATGATGGTCAATGTACACACCTCAGAATTGTCGGTTGACATCTCGCTGCAATGGTAAAATCAGTGTTCCCTTCTTCCTGCATCCAAGTACACACCGGCAGTGCAGTGAACTCAAAATCGGGGAGTACTCCCAGATATGATCGGAAGTGTTCAAGATACTGCAGTGTCGCCCTTGCCCTTCTCCTGTTTTTTGGGGGCCTACCTGAACCATGTGAACTGGCTGAAGCGATTCAAGCGAACCGATCCTGATGGTACGCAGCTAGCTCGGTGCACGTATCGACGTATCGTATCAGCAGTTCGAACCTGAAATCAGCGACTTGCATGCATATATACGGATGTACCGGTGGACCGATGCACCGACCGGGTGCGAGTGGGTAATCGCGTATCGCTCGGTTCACCGATATCGGAACCTTCCGCGATCCGTACTCTTGGCACAACTCTTCCGCAACGTGTGTGCTGCGATTGTACGGGATACCGTAGTCGTAAACGACAAAAATAGGTGTGGCGCTGTCCCGCCAATGCTCGTACTGAAGTCTACAATAGTAGTAGTACCGTATTGAGACCGTAAGTAAAGCCACTGTTGATAATCCACATAATACTAGTATGTACTACAGTACATGGACCGTTCGAGGAGTCGTCCACCCCCCACTCCTCGCCCCGGCCCCCCTCCCCCATGGGCCATGGTCACAAGACATGAACTCAGACAGGGAATGATTACATCCGTACTACGTAGCATGACTGATGATTGTCAAATCAATCCACATACATGTACATGTAGCAACAAGCCAAGTTATGCATGCTCGCACATATCCGTGTTCATGTGCCATTACATGGCATTCTTTTCGTATCCGACACATGCATGCAGTCTCGTGTTTGCACATCAATAATATATGAAGCCACTCTATAAGTATAATAATAAGGCAATGTTCCGGGTACTTTGCATGGAACACACTGGAAAACTTGAGCAGTCCAAGCACGCTGCCGGATATTACCGGCATGCCAGATGACTGAACGCCGGATAAGCCAGTGACATGCTCTTGTACTCCACTAGTTACGAGCAAGGGTCCATCAACTCTATGCTGCATAAAGCCAAATCTCACGGCGCAGGTATTTTGTTTCGGTCATCATGAAGGTTTAATATAGCGAGTGCCGCGGACGTACAGTTGCATGCTCAATGAAACGACCTGATCTCCCTCAGCGCCAGGCTCAAACCAACCAAAGTCAACCCATGATTGATTCTCGGATTTCATTGAGCAAACTATACTCCGATCACTCAGATGCCGCAGAAGTTTTAAAATTTCAATGTTTTATAGTTTATAACTCACGGCAAGAGTCCATAATAATGGACTCTTGCTCACGGTTTATACATGTTTTCGTAACTGTAACTGTAACGGTACTTATTGTAGTGCATTATTGGTGGTGCAGTGCTGTGTGCTTCTGTATGCGCTGCACAAGTTTTAAATGAACTAACCAAAAGTCAATGTCTGAAAACTAATTCATTGAAAACCCGGTAATTTTTAAAGTCCTTGCATTTAGTGGCTAAAATTAGTAATTCCTCGATGACATGACATGCTCTTGGGATATATGATTTGTTGATTCTGTTGTTGGCACTTCATCAGTTTCGGCAACCTTCAGTGATGGTTTAGCTCAAATTCTCATCATCAGATTGAGACATTGTGATGCGGACGCAGTCACGGTGTCAGACCTATTCAGCATTAGAGACCAGGCCGCCAATGCGCTTAATGTAGCCATTCCTCTCCGATCTGAGCAAGTCAACTGTGGACTGTCTTTGCAGACCGAGAACGTGACATGTAGTAGAGCAAAGCACCACTGCACCATGCACACTAGCAGCTTCTCTGGGCAGTTGCAGGCGGTCCGTGTCCGCGGCATCACGCCGACTGCTCTAACTCCAATCGTCGTCGTCATTATCCTCGCCCCAGTCCTCGTCGTCGTCGTCTTCCTCACCCTCCGAGTCGCTCTGCTCAACGGCAATACGGCGCGCAAGAATGGCTGCGACGTCCTGATGTGCTCCGCCGGCTGCGGGCTTCTTCTCCTCTTTGTCGACTTTCTTCAGTGCCTTGCCCATGCGGATGGAGCTCAGCAAATCATCTCTCGAGTCAACTTGCTTCTCCACTTGCGTCACCGGCTTCAAGCTACTGATGGAGGGTAGGTTGAGTACGCCACCGCCGGCTTGTCCGCCGCTCTGACCTGTTAACAACGGCGGTGGTGGTGCCCCCGGGGGCGGTGGCGCCATGCTGGGTGGTGGCGGTGGTGCTGCAGGTGGCGGTGGTGCTCCGGGCGGTGGGGGCACACCGGTCGGGGGAGGAGGTACACCGGCGTTGGGCGGCGGCGGAGGCTGCTGCATCATTGCCGGCGGCGGTGGCGGCGTTGCCGGCGGTGCTCCCAGCTCAGAGGGCATGCCGGGCAGGCTGGCGGGCGGTGGCAGCGACTCATTCGGCATCTGAGCCATCGCCGGCGGTGGCGGCATGCCCTGACCAGGCGGCGGCGGCTGCGTGTAGCCGGGCTGGGCAACGGCATGCTCGGTCTGAGGAGCTTGACCCGGTGGTGGAGGTGGTGGTGCGGTACTCGGCGGTGGCGGTGGCTGTCCTACAGGCGGTGGCGGCGGTGCTCCTTGAGGAATAATGCTAGGTGGTGGACCAGTAGGTGGCGCCTGAGTGGGAGGCGGACCACTTGGTTGGGTTGTCTTGCCATGGGTGCTGTGGCGCTGTGCCACGTCATCAAACTCCTTCCCTTTGCCACCTCCCACCGTCTTCTTCTTCAGGGCCGCTACTTTCACAGGGACAGCTGTTTTGCCTTGCTGCCGGCGAACTTTCTGCAAAGCCATACAGTCACACAGAGCAACAAGCATAGAATGAGCTTCGGGCTAGCTTCAGTCAACGCCATAGCATTGAACCGGGGGACCATGCATTCGTAATCTAACGGCAGTCACGAGTAGGTTATATGAGCACTGTGGGGATCAGTCCCCCCCCCCCCCCTCCTTCCCCCGTTTGAATACTAGAGTAGTAAGTGAATAACTTGGAAGGTTGAAGGTTAGCTATTATTTACTGCATGGTTTCAGTCATGCTACGACCACTACACTATGGCACTGACCATACAACTTTGCTCTCCAGGTGCCCACTTGAATTCACTAATGCTACAGCTTTGTTGCAAATTTCAACTTTCCGGACCCCAGGTTCCACAGACAGCCGGAATGAGGCATCTACAGGTGCTGACTGTACCGCCCAAGATTCCTTTCCTGTGCCCAGCCAGGCTGCCCCGGCTGTGCAGTCTTGCACGGGTGCATTTACATAAAATGCTATTTTTGATACATGCAGTGTGGCATTCCCGTTTACACCGGTTGTTTACTGCAATGGCACCTTGATATGTACAATGGTGCACGAAAGCTGGAAACTCACCTTCTTCTTCTTTTTCCTCTCCTCGGCCTTCTTGTTCATGTCTTCCGACCATAGCTCGAAGAAGTATCCCGGGTCGGTGTAGAATTTCAGACTGGCTTTGCCATCCTCTCGGAACTGGTCGAACGCGGCCAGGTTCGGCGGCTTGGCACACTTGTTGTAGACCTCGACCAGTGCTTCGGGCAGCGAGTCACGCGACAGCACCTGCTGGTCGGTGACATGATGACTGCGAAACGTCTTGTACATGGACATGTCACTGAGGTTCACTGTGCAGACACACATGCACACACACACACACACACACACACACACACACACACACACACACACACACACACAATTACAGACACACATGTGCATACACACACACACACACACACACACACACACACACACACACACACACACACACACACACACACACACACACAATTACAGACACACATGTGCATACACACATACACAGTGGCACACACACACACACAGAACTTGACATGATCGCATGAGAAACACACACACACACTCACACACACACACACACACACACACACACACACACACACACACACACACACGAGGGGATGACAATTTCCCCATGGTACACAGTGTACAGCCACGGGACACAGGCCATAGAAACACAAGAGGCACAGATTGATCGACGGCGGACCTCCAACAATCATGACTCAGATCACAGTCGGCACAAACTCAACCGCATCTGATATAAATCAGCGGAACTATTTATGGGTACTAAGTATATATAGCGTGAGCCAACTACTTCCCGCTAGGCACTATCATTGGCCAGGCCAGAGTAGGGCCATGATCTATAGGAGGTGTTGGACATAATTATCTTGCTTCTTGGAGATGTCCCTTGACCATAATGACCGTATGATACTCATGGTCACGTATGATCTCATCACCCTTGTTGTTACCTTTGCCTCCTTACATCATGCCCCCCCCCCCCCCCCCCAGCCAGATACGCGGAAGGCCAGATGGACTTCCAGGTTCCTAGCGGGAATTCAGCGCTTAACTTTCTGCGTTCGCCATTGGACACCGGCCAATGATTTTACCAAGCACAGCACTGATGGAAACATAGCGCGTAACTTTCTGCTTTGCTGGAAACCGACCAATGTCCTACTAACCACGGCATTTAAGCAAGTCGAGTGGGAGCTTAGCATGTAACGTTCTGCTTTCACCACGTTAATCTAAGCACAGCATCAAGCAAAAGTCTCATTGATAGTACCCCCATCCTGCGTTGGAGGTACATGCATGTTGTTGGTTAACAGCATGTTACAAGGCGGAGGACCACCGTGTTCGAAACACAGTGCCCCATACAACCATCCACGGTTGGCAGAGCCCCCGTCTTGCGACCTTTTGAACCCATAATTATGGGTGTTAGTCCTGGTACATGGTTCCTCATTATACTAGGGGCACTGTGTTCCGAACACAGTGATCCTCCACCTTGTAACATGCTGTCAACCAACAATATGTTTTCAACAAAACAATGTTTATCTAATAGGCACATGCAGGCTTCATATTCACCCTGGAGAAGAGAAACTCCTGATAATCGAGACGGCTGATTTATCAGCCAGCAACTGGGGGAGGGGGCGCCAACCGTACAGTTAATAAGTGTTTGCTACGGAACGACAGACTCCGAGACCCGAGCGACCAACTAAGACTAGTACAGCAGTAGTAGCAGCTATCGGATGGGCAATACCAGTGCATGTCGTCGTCGTATGGAGTAGAGAGTCTGCCTTACCTTCCTCGCCAACAGGGTCCAGCTGAGTAACGTCCACCTTCAGTTTCTGCACTCGCGTCTGTAGCGCACTGGTCCGTTCCAGGCACGAGTTGGCCTCGGCGATGAGCTCGCCGAACAAGTTCTCTCCATGCTTCGACAGGCTGCTCAGCTGGCGAATAACGTTGGCCAGGGTATGCGACAAGATACATTGCAGTTCATTATCGGCCCTGTCCGGGACCTTGCAACGACTGGCGAAGTAAGGCTCGACCGTGCGTTTCACCAACGGCATACCTGCTGATGCGCTGATGAGGGTATTTACGCGGCCGCTGCTTGTTTTCTGAAACTATGCTGCAGAATCTCCCGCGTGTGACCTCTATGATTTCATTGAAACAGAGGACAACGTGCTTGCTCTCTTGCCCCGCGTTACCTGGGAAAGCTCGGATCCACTTTCACTAGGTGTGGCGGGGAGAGAATTTGGTAAGAGCGCGTTCGATCGTCAGGCGAGTCACGGACCGCAAATCCTCAGTGGCTGTCGCGCAGCAGAGAGCCGAGTAGTGGACTAGATCCGAGATCCCGCACACACAGTTAGTGGTTGATGAGACGGCGGGGAAGGAATACTTCAGTCTTCGAAACAACTCCGCTTTTCGCAGGGACACGAAACAGATCTTTGAGGCGGCTAAATGAACTGTGCCACGCTGCCAGAGTATGCTGACACAACTAGCGGATGGCTGAACGCACTCCTAGTCTGGCAACAGCCGCTCGCGATGCTTCCTCGCTGGCGTTGAGGCACGAACTGACTGAGATGCTTGAGATAATATCCTGGAGCTCACTCAGCTTTTCGTCCAGCTGCCGCAGCCACGATACAGAGGTGCGGGGCTCGTAGATCCTGGGCTGTGGAGTGTGGTGTCTCTGACTCAGTCTGACTCTCTGAGTACAGACAGTGTAGTGACCTGGTACATGGTGGCGCTCCAGTTCAAAGTCTGAAATCTTCTTCTGCACGGACTCGGTTGTATGAAGCTGGGTGCGGGGCTGAACCAGCTGTGCGTGTTGTGGCAGCCGAAGCGTCGTCGCTAAGTCTGTGGATTCTACCCGTGGCTGCAAGTGCAAGTCTCGCCAGCCTACTGCATGCAGCGCTCCCGACTCATGCTCAGTGACTGGTGGTCATCATGGTCATGAATCTGTACTAGTAATAGTATTTGCCATGGGATTGCCCGTGCAGGTAAGAAAGATGGTAGTTTTGTCTTGCGCAGCCCTTCACTGCGGCATCAGTCATCATCCGCAAGTAACAGGAACATATCTGCCAAGTACAGAGTACTGAGAGTGCTTTTTCTGGATCGCCATGGCAAAATCGTGGGATTTGCCTTGGTTTTTCGGGATATGTCATATTTTTACCAAAAAAATCCTTTTTCAACGTTTGATGGCACCAACATTTCGATAACAGAAAACTGTGATTGATGGTGATCATCGGATCACACTTACACATGTTCAAGACTCAAAAACGGAGGTTTTTCAGAGACTGCTCATGGAAGGAGCACTAGTAGATCCACTGGTACTGCAGGCTATGGCGGTCCGGAATCAATAATCAATAAAGTACAATATCAAGCTTGTTTCTTGCACAGTGAATTTCGGGATAATCGACAGAAATTTCGGGATCGCGGGAGTTCATCCAAAATTGCGGGGTAATCCCGAAAAAATCTAGATACTTGGCAGGTATGCAGTAATCATGGTATTGATCGATAGACAGACGGTCTGTAAAAGGTTTTCTTCTGGAGCCCATACCGGTATCTCAAAGCCACGTTTCTACAGTGCTGGGAACTGAAATCCGACCCCCTTGGCGGGGCGCCGCGCCGCCAAGGGGGTCGGATTTCAGTTGCCAGCGCTGTATGTAGGCTAGCCTTCATTCAAATATGGGCTGATGCAGCGCAAACTCTGCAAAATAATCATTCTACAAGACAGCCCATCGCAGGCCAAGAATGCAGCCAGAGTGGCATGAGCATGGGCTTCTGGAGTCCTGCACGAAAATGACTTACGAGTTATGTCAATTATTGTCATGTATTCGATAGCTACATGATTAGTGACTCAGTACATGATTGTACATGGTCACGATTATAAACCCAATACTAGTTCAAAACTAGTATTAGATAAACCTTGTTATAGTTCACACATATTGCTAGATTGACAGCATGAAACAAGGTGGAGGACACTGTGTTCGGAAACAGTGACCTTACTACAACCTTTCGCGGTTGGCAGAGCCCCGGTCCCTTCGGACCATTTGAACCATATGGGTGTTGAACCCGATTCTGACCCTCATTATGCTAGGGGGGTTTAGACTTCTCCTTACATCCGTCGTGTATTCTTTGATCGCTCCTGGATGTCGTCCTGGTAGTCATGTAGCTACTTTAAAAACCTGAATTGCATTTCGTAATCTTCTTTTCTTCCAACTTCTGCCCATTGCGTCCTTCTCTCAGCTCGTCAGCTGTCAACAGTTACTGCCACCACCATGACATTGTCGCGAGAAGAAGTTGGAAGAAAAGAAGATTAAAAAAAGCAATTCAGGTTTAAGTGAGCTACATGACTACCAGAACGACATCCAGGAACGATCAAAGAATACACGACGGACGTAAGGAGAAGTCTAAAACCCCCCTAGCATAATGAGGGTCAGAACTGGGTTTAACACCCATATGGTTCAAATGGTCCGAAGGGGCCGGGGCTCTGCCAACCGCGGAAGGTTGTAGTAAGGTCACTGTTTCCGAACACAGTGTCCTCCACCTTGTTTCAAGCTGTCAATCTAACAACATGCCCAAAGGCGCTGAGTTGGCGAATACGTCATTTCCTATCAGCAAAATCAAAGATACTGTGATGAACGAGCAGGTCAACAGTGAGCACGCTGCAAAAAAACCTTAAAAAAAGCATTTCCAAGGCCCTCAAAGTTACCACTACCAGTAACACAAAATAAATGTAAAATTGAATGTTTCCATGGAAACACTATTGGCTGGAAGGGACGTGGCCGCCAAAATTAATACAGTGCTTGCTGTACTTGGTTATTTTCAAAAGCTGACGTACACATTTGAGAGAGAAAATGATGACAGCCGTTTGTGTAGTCAAATGGGATATATCTGATGTCAAATCTATATCGTAACTACATCCCCTAACGTGCAGCAAGTAAGAAAAGGCTTGCCCGGGAGCTTGGATAGGTCATACTCTGGTTTACCTTCAACCACGTATAAATCTTTCGCCTTTTACTAAAGATTTCCGTGGAGGTGGACATTGAAGGAGTCTTCAAAAGAATTTCTTTAGCCCTTGCTCACTGAGCAGGGCTCATGTAAATTGCGAAAAAGAAAGAGGGCGGTTGGTTACGATATAAGTGGTAGAGCAGTCGCTGGTAACTTAGCTTTGCGCAGTAGCCAATGAGGTCCAGCCGAGGCGTGGGTATTGCTTATTGAAATTTTTTCCCCAATCCGGCATTGACGACTTGAAACAAAAGGTCAGCTTTGCAATTTTTGACAGCTCACCCATTGTCTAAATGCAAATATAATCATGAAAGACAGGGAGAGAAGTACTTCGAAGTAAAAGTTTCATATGAAGTTCTGTGTGTGTGCTAAACTAATTTTCTCAGAACTGCATCTTCTGGTTTAGTGATGGAGTCTTGCAAAACCGGCCTTGAGGACATGTTTTTAGCAAGCTTCCTTTTGAGGTTCAGATCCCTTTCTTCATTTCAATCAGTTTATGTAATACTGATGCCGAGGAAAACTTTGACTACTAGTCTAGTTTGGTTGAAGTCAGCTTGATGACTATTTGTGATGTGTGCAGTTTGGCAGGCTGCTTGGAACTTATTGGTCATGTAAGCTGTGGCCCCCGGGATTTGTGAGGCGAGATTAGAATGAAGTGGATCAAGCCATGTGTGTATGCAACATGCCAGTAGGAGATTGATTACCGTAGAAGCAGATGGTGTAACGTAAAGTGATATGTTTTTAAGATGAAACTGAAGTTGCTAGGTGTGTGCGTGATATTAATTGGTCACGGTGCGGCTGTTCAAGTGCTAGCTGGCCTTGACCTACATACATGTAGTACTTTGTACATGCATGGGATAAAGCAGAACGGAAAGGCATGTGAATGCGAGAGAGGTGTTGTGATGATTGCCACTGTGGAAAGAAGCAGTTCTTTGGTGTAGTTTAAAGCAGCGGAAAGTTATACCTACGCTGCACCGGGGACGCCGTGATCAAGAAGGCGGCTCCCTCTGGCCTGATGAGTCTCCTCCAGTGCACTCTGTTGGGGCTGAAGCTTGCAATCACCAGGCCCTGAACGTGGCCCCTAACTTGGGTGCACAATTTCTGATAGTGGGGGTTTGCGTTCGCGCAGCCCCGGCACATATCAAAATTAAAGGAAGATCACGGGTAGCATGATTGCCTTTTTCTGGGCATTGTCTGTTTAAAAGTTACAGGAGCTATGTATACTGTTGCCGTAGTCACCGGTCACAACAATGATATAAGTTCGTAGCTTTGATATAACCTAACACTGGTTAAAACTTGAACCAGTATTAGATAAAGTTCGTAGCTGTGCTGCCAGTCTGCAAGTTATAGACTCGTGGCGAGGCGAAGTTATCATGGTTGTTGGGAAGGGAGGAGGCCGACATGGGTACTATCAAGAATCCATAACCCCATGGACTCTTGATACTATGATGATCAGCGCTGGCAAGAGTATATAAACCAGTGTGTGTACTCTTGCCAGCGCTAATCAGCGGCATCACTGATGCTATTAGCGAACACCGACCACACTAGCGCCTCGCCTGTCCAGGTATGGATAGTTGATGTGACCTGGCTGATGGCGTGATGCCGGTGAGAACTTGAGATCAGTACAAGTAATCACATGACTTGCTTGTTTTCATGCTTGCACTTGCCCGGCGACTCAGGCTGAGCTCGGATCTCTTGTTAATGTTGACCCGCCCGTGACAGTCCCCCTGCATGATTTCTGACTTCTCTCTGGTCGCTTGAGTTGTGTTTCTGAAATGCGGGCTGGAGTACATAAATAAGAGTGTGCGACCGTCCTCAGTCTTGCGGGGTTGGTTGGCCCACGCCGAGGGATTTTTTGTGGACGTCACAGAAAGGAAGGGATTTGGAACAAAATACGAAAACGGGATTTGGACCAGGAAGCGGGAAAATGAAACGAAGCACCAATAACATCACCAAGATCCCATGATTCACCTTGCCAAATGAAAATTATCGGAAGAAAAGAAGCTGATTGACTTTTCTCATCTGCTGGACCACCACAATAACATTGTATGAAGTCTGACAATTTCAACAGTTCATGTACTGCCAACTTCGCTTATAACGACACTCGGCGGGGCATCAGAAAAGTGTCCTTATTCGCGAAGTGTCGTTATACCCAAAGTCTCATTATATGTATTACAGTTGGATGGGACTTGGCTCTGGGCGTGGACATTCTGTCGTTATTCATGAATTGCCGTTATATCCGCAGTCGTTATTAGCGAAGTGGACTGTATCATGTTGGACATAGCATCTTTGTAGGAGTAGTGAAGAGGAAGAGTAAGTCCCTGGCTCAGGTCAGGGAGTTTTTTAATCACTCCCTGGGTATGAAGATGACTATTGTAAAAACAGTATCATGTTGTAGCAAGCGTCCATAAACTCTTGGTTGTACTTGTAGTGCATGAAGTGTACCATCAAGAGTACATAACCCCCTCTTGCCTTGGTAGAGTCTACAATCAACAACAGTTTTAGCAGTAGGACTAGTAGTGGGAGGATGGATGCCGAACGGCGGACGTCCGGCGTGTTGCACTACTGTATTTCCCCGTAAGTTAGTACGTACTAACTTTTGAACTTAGCAGCCACATGAGTACTAACTTTCGGGGGTGGTACTATCTTTCGGGGAGTACTTTTTTATCGGGGGTAAATGACACGCAGTGGGAAGCCTGCGCAACTCTACATGTAGTGTCCGTGCATGTATGTACTGTACGTTGT